TATTCGAGATAAACCACTCCTTGGTTGGATTCTTATGGATTTTAGGCAAAGTGTACAAATGTCTCTCGCGACAATCAGGTTTGGCAGACAGATAGTCATATTGTTTCTGTTTGAGATAACTAGTTTTGACTAAATCGGCAAGAATATTATTAATCATGTTAGCAGTTTCTTTGAAAATTGGTTTCGGTAAAATGGCATAATGTTTAGGATTATTCAGTTGATTCTCTGCTTCTGAAACGTAATCCTCCCTATTCAGAATGACACAACATGAACCTTTGTCACTCTTTTTAATAACAATGCTATCGTCTTTCTTAAGTAAGTTTAACGCTTCACGTTCCACTCGTGTGAGATTAGGCTTTTCGTGTGTTATGGAAAGGTTCACTGTTTGGCTATTCATACTAGCAAATGCTTTCAATATTTCAGGATGGATGGCGGCCTGAGGGGGTGTCCACGTGGATTTAGGAATAAACATTGTTCTAGCACCACGTGGGGGGTGGTTTCGAAAAAAATATGTGCAGCTTTCGTTGAAATCGTTCAATGGATGGTCGGAGATAATTCAAGTTAGCTATCTTTGGTGTGGGAATAAACTTAAGTCCACGGTCTAAGATTGAATGCTGAAGGGGTGTGAGAATTTTGCGGCTCAAGTTAACTACAGTTTCGCCTAGCGGTGGCCTCTCAGTATTTTTATGCCCAGTAATTAGTTTAAAGACTTACTCGATGCTTGAAGCTGGTGTATCCAAAACAAATAAATGCTGTTTGCTGTTTCTGGAGACCAATGAAGATTATCAACTGTTTCGAATTCTTCTTCGTAGGGTGGTAAGATTGTTGCGCTGTTGATACTGGACTCCATCATCATGTTGTTGAGGGTGCTGAGGTTCTGTTGTGCTTTCTTCGAGATTTTATTTGAAATGGGTATACATGTGAAGAGGATCTTGGAGTTTGGGAAGGTTTTGTTGGCTGTGGCGATTAATTTCTGGGCTTGGTTAAAGGAGGTCTTTGGTATCACGGTTGTTGAGGCCTACATGAAGAATAATGGTAGTAGGTTTGGGATCATGGTCGTATGATTCCAGGATTGACTGTATGTGATGGATTTGGGCACCGGGGTAAGAATGTATTTCGGTGTCCGAACTGGTTTTGGTAATTCGATTCAGGTTAGATGATCCAATTATTAAGGTTGATTTCTTTAGAGCAGGTAGTTTCCATAATGATTTGTCCTTGGTTTGGTGAT